TTATGGAGGGCTACATGTAGTGATCATACATGTCAGACACCCACTGCTATGTTACGGAGGCCTAGTGATCATACATACAAATGTATAAGAAACTCACGACATATTTTGTCTCAAAATATTTTTTTAAATATTTAACATCCAGCATATATAAGTTTACCCTGTTCGGCGATCATGGGAATGAACTTCTCATAATGAGACAAGGAAGGCATGTTTGTTATAGAGTATTGTAGCGTGCAGCGTAAACAAGTTTTTTTCTTCTTCTGAAATTAGAGACATATTTGAGGGAAAGATGTAACGGATAGATCGAACAATATTTCGAGTTTTTGAAATCCTCATTCCGTTGAAACAGTTCAAGAGTAAATAGTATTTCAAACTTAATACAAGATATGTACAATGCCTTGATTTAACCAGCTTGTAAATCATGGTAAAATAAAGGAAATAAGAAAAGTTAACACCGAGACCCTTCAAAAAGTACTTGGAGACCAAGTGGTTCGGGAGAACAAACGTCTTCTGCTTTAGTGATAAAGACTAAAACAAACTTATGAGGTGAATTGAATTTATTATATATCTGCACCTGGAGCTTTTCTTTTGATGGTTTATATCCAATTACACTGACCACAGGAACAAGTGGAAGGTACTTTAGAAAACTTGAAAGCGAAATATCCAAAGGGGGCGACGGAACGTTTTGACGGTCCATTGGGAGCATTGGGTGCATCGGGTTCGTGATCTTCAAGAAGAGCGTCGACGTCACACAGACCTGGGTCGTCACTGATTAAGTCGATGGAATCATGCAAGCTCGGAATGAAAAAATCGCAGAACACAAGGTATCTCTGTGTGTAGAATCCACTCTCGAGACATAGTGAAGCATCGTTGCAGCAGCTTTTCCTGTTCAAATAGAAACAGATTTAAGCAATGTATATAAATAAGGTATTTAATCGGACCTAATGTTTCTGTTATGTGTCGGGGACTGGTCAACCTTTTGAAGAGTTCCAAAGCTATCAGACTATATGCATGTATGTTTATGTAAACATAGTTGAAATATCAGAATATTTTAACAAGGTGCTTGGTGCAGACAAGAAATATAGGTCAGTCCCGCAAGTGATGATTCACCTTAGATTAACCAAATCTGTATTAAAATACCAATTTAAATTATGGCGCATTGATCTATGCCAGGTGAATTATACAAATGCTACTAACAAGAAACATATTTAATTTTGATTTGAACAGAACCAATACATAAATGCCAATTTGTAAGGTGTGCTAATAACTGCAATAGTATGGCTCAAACACCGCATTTCTGTTGTTGTTGTTGTTGTCGTTGAAAAAAATGAACTGAAAGTGTTATTTTACAAGTATGTATAGTCATTGCGTGATACGAAAACCTGGTTCTCCAATATATTTTGTTTGCAGGTGAATACAAAAGCAATGTTTGATATAAACAATGATTGAAAAACAATATCCGTATTCATGTCGGTTTACTTACTGTGCGCAGGTCACGTGTTCCACCTGTTGGAGGTCGGGTCTTACTACCAAACACAGAACTCGTCCATGAAGTTTGAAGTAACCAAATATTTTCTTTGTTTTACTTGGGCAAACCGGAGTCCCCCTGTAAACCCATATTAGGGTGTGCAAGTAAATATCACATGCTTAAAAACTATATAATACAATATGTCATGCGAGATAAACACTAGAATTTAGTATATACTGCATGAATAAGCACGTATCTGAATTAGATCTTATTACGAGTAGACATGTAGATACCAACAATATTTACTTAAATGTGTACACTTTACTGCTATATAACATATATATGTAGGGGTCAATGCAACAAATGCAAAACTATAGATAATATAAACTTGTCAAATCTATTTTAGATAAAGTCATCTATCTTGAACACGCCTACCAGCTACGTACATATAGATACACTCATAACATCCTTCAGGTGTTGTCTAATTGACGGTTTGATAAGTAATGCTTTTAAAAACAATCGGTTTTGCTGCTTGGAATATATACATTGTGTACTTACACCGACATATGTGGATTTACTTTCTCAATGTGCGTCAATCCATGGATATAGTTAAAGGCCCTGGGGTGCTCGTAAAGGCGAGCGATCAGGCGTTCCCTGCAATAAGAATAACACACATATATATATATAGTCATATAGTCATATACTTTATAAAATATTGTTTTGTATCAGATAAAACTGTTTCGTCAGGACAATGTCGACTAATCAAACTGATTGTATATGTTGTTGATAGAGTGAGTATTGATTTAATACTGTCATGTATTGCACATACTGTTCTGTCAATTAACTCAGTTGGATTGCAGTCAACAAACTAAAAGCCAAAAGCAATAACTGAAATTTACATATATGTACAGGCAAACTTCTCATTACAGAGCAGATGAGCTAATTGAGTCGAAACGTGACCTTACCTTACATAATGATGGATTGACATTTTTTCAATGTTCATGCTTGTATGAACGTAAATCGGTTACATACATATTCCATGAAATCCGATTCGAAAGGTTAATGGGGTCAAATTCATTGAAAAGTTTAAGCAACGTCTTATACATAACTAATAAATCAACAGCAGTTGTATTGGACCTGTAAAATGCTAAGATGATGGGCTATAAAACTTCGATTAAAAAGAAAGTATTTGACCCACTGTCAAAGCAACAGAAGTCAAATGCGTTAAAGCAAATCTAAAAAAGACATTCCCTGCAAAAACTACAAGAACAACGATCATTATACCTTTGTGCAAGCTAGTGTGATAGGCTGACAGGCTTGTTTAAAGAAATACCTCTGAGTACTAAATAGAAGTCACAGGAGTATCGAAACCTTTAAACAACTGAATAGCCAACAGGCCTTGTGCATGCTTATGCTTTTCTCTATAGCAAAATGTGGTAAATAACCATCAAGTGTGTACAATAGAAATACCTGACCGGATATCTAGGTCACACGAGTCAAATTTGTAAAATAAACTTTAAACAATAATAAGCAAGAAGCCTAGAGAATTGTTTTTAATGTCACGGTAGTAGTAATTTTTAAACGCTCCTAATGGCTACTCTTAAAGATTCATTATTTGTTGAGTGAAAAATATTAGGCCGGAGGCTTGTAGAGATGAAAGAAAATCAAACTTGTTCAAATGCATAAATTTCACTTTCTTTCAAAGCTCAATTGAGTTCAAATAGTTTAACGAACTGTTACATAGATCCGATAGTCCCAAAACATGTATTTTGACTATGTATTTAAGGAACAAAAGCTAAAGGAATATACATATTGTCTTTGTGTTTGCATGTATGACTTTGCCCTCATGCAATGTCACATGGTATACAAAAGTGGTAAAACCTTTGAACTATTTTGTATATGGATCCTTAACATGTTAAGATATTATATTAAGGTACACACTGTTAGCTAGACTGATAGCATATTGCAGTCGAATACGTACCGGTTACATTGTATGTCATCGAATGTCTATGAATCATGTTCCCGTTTATATTAGATATATGAGTCATGATACCGTGCTAGTATATATATATCTATGTGTCATGGGCTTGATATTGGTTTGTTAATATCTCAAAGCTTTTGCAAAAATAATGTCGGGTATCGTAAATGTAATTTAACGTCGCAAAACATGTCTATGTAGTTACTTCTGTGCTACTAAATAGCACTTCATCTTTCTCTGTTATAACAATTGCATATCCTTTTCGTTTTTGTTTTGTTCCTTTACTGATACATTGTGTTTCATATGTGAACGACTCCAAATCATGTTAGTGTTTGTAATTATGAAACATGAACCCTACTTACCACAGAGAAATATATTCGACAGTCCGGAGAGGTTCACAAACATAATCTGTTGTCTTTACTTCAGTTTTGTCCACGTAAATGACATCACAATCGTCGTCCAGCGGGTCGGCTTCAAGTGTAACGCCATCAACATTACCACTAATACAGACGAGGGTTGCCAGAACTAGTGAAACCTGGATTGAAAGTAGAGACGCCCGAGTCATTGTTTTAAGGAGTTTCTAAACCTATTATCATCAAAGGATACAGTTATAAAAATATGGTCAATCCTTCACAGAAGAACATGTCTTACGTAAATAGTAATTATGTTGTTTTATGTTGTCATTAGCGTTATAAGTTAAGAATTGCATGCTAGCGCGAATATATTCTAGCGTTCTGACCCTATTGTCATCACATATTTATTCGTATTGTTTCATACATGAACCAAACAAAACGTATGAGTCATTTGCAAATAAATATATTAATGCATCAAATGACAATGTTATATATTATTGGATACGTGTGCTTATATCTTAGACAATCCATGGATACGTTTTTCATTATGATTATTACTTTATTTATACGTGAAAAAGTATATATTATCAAACGCTTAAAGTAATCATTATTATTTTTATACGTGTATATATATGTGTGTGTATGTATTATTTAATAAATATTATAATATTTACAAATGTAGTTATATCAAGCTGAGGTTACTAAAACAATTAACATTGCCAAATCAAACAATTTGTGTTAACAACAAGAAGTAAAATACAACATGTTAAACGAGATTTACTCGTAAATTACATTTCTGACACCTATGTCATCCCGATTCCTTTAAGAATACCTGTAAACTGCTCTTCATGTTTGTGAGGTAAAACGTCCCAGAAAGTTTCCGAATAAATCCCGTCCCAGTCGCTCCTGTATTGCGCACTCGGTAGACCGACTCGTAGGTCGCTGTGGATTGACAGCACTCTCAAAATGTACAGTAGATAGTGAACACGTTAATGTTCTGTTTTGTGTTTACATTAGGCCTTTGGCGTATACTTATTGTTTCTATCTATTGCCCTTGTTCTTTAAATTGTTTTCCCTTAACGAAACACCCATAGCTATTTTTTGTACTGGCAATTATCTTCTTTAAGTGTGTCTAAAATGTATACGTTATTAGAAAATTAGTTTGTTAAATTTTCAGGCAAAATGAAGAGCGACAAACGCGTATTAAGTCGTGCCATCTTCATTCAGTCTATCTATACCACGTTTGCCAAAACACGCATAATATTTCAAGATTTTATTATCAGATTGCTATACATATATACAAAAATAGATAGCACAAACATAAAAAGAATAATATTATAAAATACACAGCATTGTGGATAGCCAATATAACATGTATTCAATGAGCAATGACGATCATGTATCATAAAATCATTATCTAATGATATATTACAAATAATATCTCACAATCTTTTATATGATACGAAATATCTAATACAGAGAAATATATCATAATTATGCTATAGCATATATACTTCTCTTTAAAGGATTCCTCATATATTTACACTTAAATGTACATCAGCTTAAAGATAATTTTATCAATAAAAGGCTGTCAATATGCATCGAACTTGAAATCATATTATGTTTAAACTCGGGAAAACCCCTGACTGTACCATTCTAAACCACCTCATATTCATCTTAACTTCAACGCAGTCTGAAAAACCTCCAAATCAATCATTTGTCTGGAGGTTGCAAGCACAGATGGTGATATGGGTATAACTATTCGCCTTGTCCGTATCTTGCCTTAGTGTTATCGATTTTCGAATTACACTTTTGTACACTAAAGTATTCTAAATAACTCTTATACTGCAGAGGATGTTTCTGTCCGTTTGTGTGACGTTATTCGGCAGAAATACCTGTTTTGGATTTGGTTTCTATTTCTATGAATTATATAACATTATATTCTAATCAGTGATAACGGTATACACGTACCAAAACCGTTTTTATACTTTTAAATTGAGTGAAAGTTTAATAAAGTATTGTATGATCCTTTGTTATTATTCTTCAGATACATTGTTTATCATTGCATTAAATAGCAGGACTTTCGAGAACTAAATGTAGTTAGTAGGGGAGGGGCGGGGCTGTCTCTCCATCAGTCATCAACAGTCGATTGCGAGTTTCCAGTATCCTCGGATAACACAAGGCTGTCTAGAGAAATCCAGTTGCTTATTATTGCCTATAATTGATTCGGGAGAAAAATGTTGGATAGTATATAGAATTACTAGATATCTGACCAACTATTTATCAAGTGATATATGTTTGGTAACTCGATAACGTTTCTTTCCGAAGTTAATCACACTGCTGCCATTCTATCAAAAAGACAATCTTTAATGATTTTGATAAGAATTTGTTTGACGTGTTTTACCGAATTGTGTAAAATTTGCATTTCGATATTGTCATCATATAAAGCAATTATTGCTGAATTATTGTCGATAAGAATCGAAGTCCCCCAAATCTAACGAACATATGCTCATGGAACTGTTCTCGTTTTCAGCTGTCAATAAAAATGTAGCATCACGAACAAGATTTAATTGGGCAAAGAGTTGCTTACAATTAAAGCTACTTATTTTCCAGTTTCAAGAACTCCAAAATCGAATTGTGCGTTTGTTGTTTGCTCTGTTTTCTTTACAGTTGCCTCCACGGAAAGTTCCGTTCCCCCAAACCTCAGTCTCACAGATACCCCGCGGTCTGATTCAGGAAGGTTCATAGGGAGGTCCACCAACATCTTACCGATGTAAGTGCAATTCTGTGTCTCACAATACTTGGGTTTGGCTCTTTCTGATGTAAATACCCTGAGGGCCAGCCGCGTTTGCTCATCTGTCAATGGAAAATAGTCGTGATACTCGGTTGCTTCCCCTATATTAACAGACTGCCCCCTAGCAACGTGATTGCTAAACTTATCATTGCAATACACAATCCCTTTTTTAACAGTTTTTCGACTCTCTGGGTCCTCTTGTCTAAACTTCTTAGACGTCTGTATACCATAAGTGTGTTTCATTACACGAGTAGATATGACTCTGGTGTCAAACCCGAAGAGAACTGCACCTTTCAGGACAGAGAGACCAGCATCCTGTGGAATGATAATCCTCTTCCTGCTACCGAATCTCTCCCTGACGGCGTGTCGTAGCATAGGTGACTCTGAAAACCCTCCAACCATCAGGATAATGGAAGTTCCAGCCGCGTCTTCTTGCTCAAATATCCGTTCGACGTGTTCTACAATTGCTCCACAAGCAGTTTCGAACAGTTTCTTTGCTTCAGAGGCATCCACTCTCAACTTGTCACCAATCCATGCCATTTTCCTGCCTCGACGTCCTTCCGATACCGATAGACGCAGTTCTTCCCCTCTCATGTCCTGATACACCTCATTCAGGGCAATCGGAACTTTAAATGTGATCTTCTGGTCAATTTCAGGCGTGATGGTGCGTTTCTTAATTTCAAATTCGCGAACGATGTCAAGGTAGGCATCTCTGTTTTCCATTTTGAATCGGTCCCATACCTGAGGGCCAACCAGCTCTATGAGGAACTCCTCATACGCCTCGTCTACTTTGGTGCCTCCCCAGTCTCCCCCGTTTGCCATGTAGACCTGGTGAAGCGATCCGTCCCCCTGAACCTCCTGGACAGTGATATCTATGGTGCCGCCTGGAACAGAACAGGATCGACAACATATAGAAGTAGATCATTATTCAACTATATTTTACCGACGTCGAATACTGAATAAAACATTTTTTCTGCTTATGTATTAACTTTGATTTGAATGTGATTTCACGCTTGATCATGACATCATCTATAGATGTCAGTTACTTTCGTTGTTATTCGGTATTGTAAAGCATTATTTGCATGCATCTATGTTTGCAATACATTTAAACCGGTATAAAATACGCACACGGTATCATAATATGCATACGGCAATCCCATTGCAATTTGATGTATTTTAAGACCCAACTCCGATAAGCTAGCATCGTTCTTTGTGTCTTATATTTCACCTTTTGTTGAAGTGTGTAATGTATATACCTACACTTGTATATATGTACTACCACGATTTTAACGACTGAACCGCATAATTAGCATGTCAGGCAGAGATGGTTTGATAAAATCAGATACGCATACATGTACGAAATTATTAGAATTATCTGATGGCTGTACATGTATGTAAGGTAAATTACAACAAATAGTGCCTGACAAAATCTCAGAACAGAACGATAAGACATCAATAGGCATCGATAATCAATTCAACACAGGACATCGGAATACCCTACAGTTGATCCAGCAGTATTAAGCATGGTGTACCCCATCACAAAACATTTATATATTTCAGACACGTACCTCCTGCGTCTAATACCAAATACTTCGTGCCAGGACAGATGGCTTCCAGGCCGGCAATATCCTCGCCTGCCTGACATAGTTCCTGCCCCCGCTTTCCTACGGGAATGTGCTTGCAATATATCGATGCTGCCTCTGGCTCCAGAGCGATGTCGAGCTGGTCAGATCTGATGCCTGCCTGCAACAGAAACCACAAATAGACGTTATGAGTTTGAACTAATATATTACAAAATTGTTTTCTGAAAGTGGAAAAAAGGAGATGGTCAATAATAGGTCTTTAATCTTCGTTCTATGAAAAATCATGTTTTCTACAAAAGCAACGTTTTCAAATTCAATTTTGTCAATGTGATTAGAATGTATTTCCATATTTGTTTTTATCTTATAAATCAGAGATTTCAATTTTCTGAAGTATTAATGAACCGAGGAACGTTACCCGCGTCTTTTTGTAAGATGTTTGTTTTTGGGAGGGTGTGAGTTAGTTAGTTAGTATACAACCCAACTCACTTCCGTTTAGTTTGCCATCTGCGTTTAATACGATACCTCATTAAAATTTCAATCTATTTTAAACATTTCAATAATAAGTTTATTGCCTACATTACATAAATATACTCTTAATTCATGACATCTGCATCAGAACTTGATAAAATATACCTTCTTGGCCGCCTCCCTCATGAACTGCTTCGCCTGGTCCGACCAGATGGCTGGCACAGTAAGGACCCAGTGAACTTCGTCGTCCTGGACACCTTCACTGATCGATCGCGCGTGCATTGCGCGAAGCATGTGTTCTCTTAGGTAAAAGATGATAGCCGAGAATACCTCCAACGCGTTCATAAGTTTACCTTTGTCATCCTCAATTGTGGACTGACGGGAAATGTGCTGTAAACAGAATCGTGGATTTTATACAATAATTGGAGACAATCAATTATGTTTTCCTTACTGTTAAAATCATTAATGCCCAATTACAAAGTAATGGCTACGTATATCATGATGATGTTAACTAGATAAACTTCTCCGTATAGTTGGTATTATAGTTTATTTAAACTAGAAAGACTGTACGGGTTTTGAACTATTTCTGGCGATGTAAAATATTAAATGATGTAAACTAGACAGAGTAAAGGTTCTGTTAGTATCACAGTTGAAACGGGACTTACTAGGGTTGTTGCTAGTACCTGTATCACATCAAATGTAAACTAGAAAACCGGTTCAGGTATTGTTAATATTATATTTGGTGTAAACTAGTAAGATGGTTCAGATATTGTTAATATTATATTTTATGTTAACGAAAAAGATGGCTAAGGTATTGTCAATATCATATTTGGTGTAAACTAGAAAGGTTCAGATATTGTTAATATTATATTTAATGTAAACGAAAAAGATGGCTAAGGTATTGTCAATATTATATTTGGTGTAAACCAGAAAGGTTCAGATATTGTTAATATTATATTTAATGTAAACGAAAAAGATGGCTAAGGTATTGTCAATATTATATTTGGTGTAAACCAGAAAGGTTCAGATATTGTTAATATTATATTTAATGTAAACGAAAAAGATGGCTAAGGTATTGTCAATATTATATTTGGTGTAAACCAGAAAGGTTCAGATATTGTTAATATTATATTTAATGTAAACGAAAAAGATGGCTAAGGTATTGTCAATATTATATTTGGTGTAAACCAGAAAGGTTCAGATATTGTTAATATTATATTTAATGTAAACGAAAAAGATGGCTAAGGTATTGTCAATATTATATTTGGTGTAAACCAGAAAGGTTCAGATATTGTTAATATTATATTTTATGTAAACGAAAAAGATGGCTAAGGTATTGTCAATATTATATTTGGTGTAAACCAGAAAGGTTCAGATATTGTTAATATTATATTTTATGTAAACGAAAAAGATGGCTAAGGTATTGTCAATATTATATTTGGTGTAAACCAGAAAGGTTCAGATATTGTTAATATTATATTTTATGTAAACGAAAAAGATGGCTAAGGTATTGTCAATATTATATTTGGTGTAAACTAGAAAGGTTCAGATATTGTTAATATTATATTTTATGTAAACGAAAAAGATGGATCAGGTACTGTCAATATTATATTTGGTGTAAACTAGAAAGGTTCAGATATTGTTAATATTATATTTGATGTAAACGAAAAAAGATGGCTAAGGTATTGTCAATATTATATTTGGTGTAAACTAGAAAGGTTCAGATATTGTTAATATTATATTTGATGTAAACGAAAAAAGATGGCTAAGGTACTGTCAATATTATATTTGGTGTAAACTAGAAAGGTTCAGATATTGTTAATATTATATTTGATGTAAACGAAAAAGGATGGCTAAGGTATTGTCAATATTATATTTGGTGTAAACTAGAAAGGTTCAGATATTGTTAATATTATATTTGATGTAAACGAAAAAAGATGGCTAAGGTACTGTCAATATTATATTTGGTGTAAACCAGAAAGGTTCAGATATTGTTAATATTATATTTTATGTAAACGAAAAAGATGGTTAATAATCATCTCAAACGCCTAGACGCCTAGCAAGTAGCAAGAACCTGCCAGGAAGCTCAATATTCAACTCCTAACAACATCTCAACCATTTTTCTATTTACACCAACTATAATATAGACATTACCTGAACCATTTTTTCTAGTTTACATTTGATGTGATACATGTACTGACAACAACCCTAGTAAGTCCCGTTTCAACTGTGATACTAACAGAACCTTTACTCTGTCTAGTTTACATTTGATGTAATACAGGTACTCACAACAACCCTAGTAAGTCTCGTTTCAACTGTGATACTAACAGAACCTTTACTCTGTCTAGTTTACATTTGATGTAATACAGGTACTCACAACAACCCTAGTAAGTCTCGTTTCAACTGTAATACTAACAGAACCTTTACTCTGTCTAGTTTACGTCATTTAATATTTTACATCATCAGAAATACCTACAAATAAACTCTTATATAGACTATACCGATCAGTGTATCTAGTTAACATCATCACGGTGTACGTAGCCATAACTTGGTTTTTGTGCATTATGGTTTTAAAGGGTACTCAATATCCATAAAGCAAGGGATGTTCCACATTAAAATATGGGACATCAACTGTAACTACACCCGAGTAGGCGATAAGCGACTGTGGGCCTACACACATGTATATTTTACGAATTGGAAATGTGACGTCAGTGTTATGGAATAAAGCACTGTCAGTATTCCGTTACATTCAGTGATATAAAACAAATCTTTGTTTTCAAACTACAACATATCTGAAGGTATAAGCATCTTCATTTTCCTGTGAGAACTACTGATAAAACCATTCGTATGAAAATGGTATACCAAGCTATGTTAATACTATTTGTTCTTCTTTTTAGCCTGGAGTTTTCAAACTCAAAAATGCATAACCGGGTGAGCTTAGTTTTCAAGAATATTCGTGTGTCTGCTAAGGTCTTTAGAAAGTCAACGTATGTGTGAACTCACGTGGCAATTGGCTTCCTGTTAATGATACCTTGGTTTTTATCACAAATTGTATCGTGTTCATACATCGAAACACTTGCTGTTGCGAGGACTTTAAACTTGGATCAAAACACAGGGATTCGTGTCTAAAACACATATATACTATACTGATAGGGGTCAAAGCACACCAAATTCTGTGATTAAAATTGAAATCACAAATTGTCAAAATATGTAAGTAACCAATAACTGAATTTATCTAACAAATAGATTACTAGTTCTGATATGGTAAGGCCGTAGGACACTGAATAGACTTTAAGTTGTGTGCACTGGTTCATGTATACAGTTCTTACTGGGTTGTTATACAGCATCATTTTGAACCGCCGGAAGTAGTACCAGTCATGATGCTCGTCGTCAATGGCCAAGTCTGCATACTTGTCCTCGGCCTCGAATCCAAATGAGTGAAATTTCTGCTCTGGAGTGAAGAGTGCACATGTTGGAGTTTTAAGGGATATACCAACTCGAGATCCACTATTCCAGGTATTTCCTTGGATCCGGAGTGCGTCGTTCGCGTAGTCGTTTCGGAATGCGAAAGCGTATCCGGAATAGGTAGTGCCGAAGTCAATGGCGGCTACTATCATCTTTTCACTGTCTTTGTCCTCTAAAAAGGACGCCATGGTGACAGGAAAGCCTCGATTAACTGCTCCTATGATGAAACAAATTGATTTTTGTATTGCATGTATTTATTCAAAAATAGCACAAAATAGTTTTAAACTTAAGGAAACTACCACCACACACACACACATACACACTCATTTTGTAATACCATCAAATATACCATGCAATTGTTTCACAACTTTCCTACAGTCATGTCACATTCACATTTATTAGTGAGCAAGTTTTTTTATAGCTGAACTTGTAGTTTTTAAAGAGACACAAGGAGAAATGGTGTATTTCTACAAATTCAAAATCAACTCAACTTGGTTGTGTTAAAGCCAGAACCATGATATCACCAATCGGTATGGTCTCGGGACGCAATATAACTTTCAGTCCCAGGGCCACTGAGGAAAACATGTAGGAGATGTGAACGTGATCGGACGACTGGTCCTATTTACCTACCGTTATCAATTCATATATATGTGTATGTCATTTGAAACATAAATCTTTCGGCCAGAAAATACATAAGGCCCACATGCAAGGTGCATGTACACCACAACATGTTTAAACACGTCACCGTGTGAAACGCATACGACAAATACATGTACTTAGTAAATTTTATATTCAAAACGAAAGTACATACGGTTTCCTATAACGAAAACAGAAATGTATATTGTTTCCTTCTTGGTTTGTAATATCTGTAGCACCTGATTACTATTTGTCTTTAACTATTACAAAAGTGTAGAAAATACAGATTGAGTGAGAACATATGTACACGTAGAGTGTATAGGCCAGTGTAGTTACACACGTACATATGATCATTACTCACCGCCCGTATGTACAGTTGTATAGGTGTATCGTCACTGTATATGGCGACGTCTTCTTCAGTGTACCACCCGACCAGTCAGACGATTCACTTTCCTGTCAGTACCCAGCGATAACGACATAGGCACGTCATCGGCAGTTCTCGGAATGTCTCTATAATTGTCCTATACCTGTGTTATAAGATGTTTCAGGATGTACTTTCGTTTTTAAAATAGAATTCACATGCTGTGTAGAGAGACTTACGTCTATAGACTGCATTCCGTATTTATTAATGTAAAATGTGTTTAGTTTTGGTTTCCATAGGCTTATCGCATTACAGCTTACAACGTATCATATCATTCATATGTTCGTCCCTTTTAACTGATGGGGGCCGATTTGGGCCGATTTACCGTCCCGTTAACTGCCGGGCGACCGATGGGGGCCAATACTCAACACATACACCAATAGAGATTCGTAAAATAAGACTGTTTGTCACTAAATTTCGCATCAAATAATCACTGGAAATACGTCAAACGTAGGAGGAGATGACGTCAATATATAACTTTATGACGTCATACTTAACTATTTCTTTGAAAACTGTCATGACATGTCCATGTTCGAGGACATTTACACCTGAGCTAGTCACGGTCATCTTATTTAACAGATTTGATAGTGTGTCACTCCTGAAAGATACTGGCAAAATGTAACAAATCTAGACCTAACCAGGGTTAACACGTTTAACCAATGCTAACAAAAGGTATCTCAATGTAATTTATTGCAACAAACTTGATATACCTCTCCACTAGTAAGAGGCAAGACAAATATCATAGGACTCCTGCTTATTCAGAAAAAAAATCTTTGAAATATTTTAACACGTTTGAAACAGGGGTCCTTGAAAATAACTAAAGGTCAAACTGAACCATTGCTCCAAGAGTGATCTTAGCCAAATATTTCCCCGTATGCATCTTGTTTGATCCAGGTTAGATGCTCATCAGGGACGGAAAGTAAGCAAACAGCACACAGTCTTATCCGTCTACCGAATAATTGACAGACTTTATCATATTAAAGATTATGTCATTGTAGGGTTATGAGAGTGTGTGCATGACAAAGAAGGACGTGTAGTCGTGTGATTAAAATGGTAATACTGTACCCACGTAAATTCGGAAAAATCTTAGGGTACAGAATGATATATTATCAAAAGATCATTTCGGAAGTGTCTACCAAAAGTTCATTTTCAGTATCTTTCGAGAGTGAAATCTTCGATTTCAAAGATTAATCATTTTTAATTAATGGTTTGATTTTAATGTTGACTTATTAGAACATTTTTGGTAGTTTTCTGTAGCTGTAAACTGATACAGAATAATATAGCCACTGGTCTTTACACACGCGTTTCCTAGGTCCGTTATACTTAGCATATTTATTTACACAAAAGGAAAAAGCCGTATTCAACCAAATGTGAAATTATAACTTTCGTAGCAAGAAATTATTTCTGTCCTTCTGTATCCTAACACCAGTAAGACTAGATTTAGACATCATTTACATTGGAGATCTAGCAGAGAGAATTGTACTGAAGGGTTGGGGTGACAATTACACGTCTTACATGAATAACACGGCATCGTAAACTGTAAACATCAAGAACAGAACTTATCCACAACAAATATGAAAATAAACAAAATAAAATAGCAGACTACATTTCTTTTCCGTATTCATGTACTACTTTGACATCAGAGAGAAAATATAAAAATGTATGTAAAATTAGGGATAGTGCCATGTACGTTGTTTTGAGTGGCTATACTGGCGATTAGAACATGAAATTTGGTTTGAACTCGAGACCGATAGGTCGAGAGTTGAAACCAAATTTCATTTTCATTTTAAAATATTTTGTGAAATCAATCAGATTTAATGGGAATTTGGCAACATGCAAAGCCTTTACAAACCCTCTCCTAGGTCTCAAACAATAGCAATATAATGAACTTTGAATATTTACATAATGCTTTAGGAACATAAGAATTAGATCAGTGCCAATGATGATAAGAGACAACATACATACACACATGCATGCATACATACATGTACAGACATACATACACTCATACATACTTACATGCATGCATGCATGCACACACATACATACATACATGCATACATGCATGCGTGCATACATACACATATACATACATACATATATACATGCATACATAACATTCAAAATATGTTGGTTGATTCTATATATCTCTGAACACAAACACGAATAGAAGAGTTAAGATCTTCACTAAGGAAACTACTTCCTTTAGTCAATATATTAATATTATACATTAGATGTTCATAAATGTTTAGGTCCAAGTTTAAGTGTAAATTTAAATTTGTGTCAAGCTGTAAATGAGACAGAGATATTAACATATGTTGTCTTTGAGTCATATATCTAGGACAATGCAGAACCAAATTTCATGTTCTCATCGCCAGTATAGACACGAAAAACAACGTACTATCCCCATTCTAACACACTTTAACAAATATCCTACGATAATATGTTTAGAAACATTTTATTTCCTTGTACAAAAGTACGTAATAAAGTACTTTATGACGTGTACTAGCGACGTGTCATTCAGCAGCGGACTGACCAATCGGAAAGAAGCTTTCAAAAGTCCGCCATTTGGCCCCGCCCATACTGCCGAGCGCTTTATCTGCATGTTGACGAGGCGGAATATTTGGATTGTTCGTGAACGTCCTGTTACCAAAGTTTATACGACACATTTTGATTAATATTAACGAAATCTTACATTTCCATGTCAGTATGCATACTAATCTGTGCTTATCGACAAAATCGGTGAGTATTTGTATAGATTTGTGAAGAGTTTTGTGTAAATTCATACGACACATGTGAAATGTTTCATTTGATTTCGTATCTAACTAGATGCCTTCACACGGATGGAACGAACGTTTCAGTGATAATGGAGGTAAGAACAAGGAATGTTTACCTTTTACATTTTAATTCATTCAACAAATACATTTCATTGGTCGTTTCTGTTCTGGTGCCTGCTAGCCTTATCAGCGGATTTCGCTAAGAGGCGAGCTTGACGCCATATTGTTTTGGTTAGAGGCGGGGCGGGGCTTAAGTACAATGGGAGGAGCTTAACACGATTGATCATGATTCTATCGCAGATTAGAACATGGTCCGTATCCAATCAAAACATGTGTTGCAAACGAATCGTGTCAGAATGTATTATAGTCAATGCGCACAGGGCATAACCTAATTCATTTCCGGTCTCGCAAGATCACAGTTTTATTTATTGGATTTAGGCTTTAAAACATTTTTTAATGATCGTTGTATCAAATGAAAAAACGATAACTATGCGTTGGAAATAGTATCCCCTGTATGATTATAGCATCGATATGTTTCACTGGTGATACTGTTGCGCCATAACAAAATATACAGATAACACTCTAAACAATTTACAAAATTAGTGGGAAATATAATATTACAATTTATTTCCTTAAAACAAGATGAGCTCTTACAATTCACATCATCACGTTAAATAGGATAATCATAAAAGGCTAAATTCTTACAACACACGCTGAATTTGAATATGTATGGTGAAGGCGTTAAAGAAGTACAGACATTCCTAATACAAACGAACATGATGTGCAGATCCTAGATAAAATGTTATTTGTGACAACAAACAGGCATTCCTGTCACGTTCTACATGGAATGTGTATTAAACGGTTCTCCTTTTGCATTTTTGCTGTGTGTTTCGGAAAACTTCTTCTATAGGTTTTCATCATTTTAACTTTAATATTACTCGTAACTTCCGGAATCTTTTATTCCGTTACATTGATCAGCACATCTTACCATATCCCACATATGTGCGCGCTTTATCGCACGACGGGATGATCGATTATTAAATCGTCCAGTGATGCACACTATGTGTGAATGATGTGCGAACAATGTGAGCACGATGAGTTTGGTGCCTTGCTTGCGTAACTCTTATTGGTCCTAATTGGACAAAATGACCATTTAATTCAGTAAAATTGTTTAATTTACCCCTTCTGCATCGATTGGATATATATTTTAAATACATGTAGGTGCTTTCTTACACCAATTCTGTACTGAATTTTGTACACCACAATAATTGTTAGATTGAGCCAATGTCATACTGATGGAGTTTTGTAGCAACAACACCAACAAGCATGGACCTGTACCACATAGTAATAATCTTTCATTTGATTTGTCAAAGTATAACGTTACATTTGTGAAGACAAAAAGACAAGGATCACTCCAAGAGATCGAATTGTGCATTTGTTTTTTGCTCTGTTTTCTTTACATATGCCTCCACGGAAAGTTCCGTTCCCCCAAACCTTAGTCTCACAGATACACCACGGTCTGTTTGAGGGAAGTTCATAGGGAGGTCCACCAACATCTTACCGATGTAAGTGCAATTCTCTGTCTCACAGTACTTTGGTTCGGCTCCTTCTGATGTAAACACCTTGAAGGCCAGCTGCGTTTGCTCATCTGTCAATGGAACATAGTCGTGGTACTCGGTTGCTTCCCCTATATTAACAGACTGTCCCCTAGCAACGTGATTGCTAAATTTATCATCGCAATACACGATTCCTTTCACAACTGATTTTTGACTCTCTGGGTCCCCTTGTCTAAACTTCTCTGCTACCTGTATACCATAAGTGTGTTTCATTACACGGGTAGATATGACTCTGGTGTCGAACCCGAAGAGAACTGCCCCCTTCAGGACAGAGAGACCAGCATCCTGTGGAATGATAATTCTCTTCCTGCTACCGAATCTCTCCCTGACGGCGTGTCGTAGCATTGGTGACTCTGAAAACCCTCCAACCATCAGGATAATGGACGTTCCAGCCGCGTCTTCTTGCTCAAATATCCGTTCGACGTGTTCTACAATTGCTTCACAAGCAGTTTCGAACAGTTTCTTTGCTTCAGAGGCATCCACTCTCAACTTGTCCCCAATCCATGCCATTTTCCTGCCTCGACGTCCTTCCGATACCGATAGACGCAGTTCTTGCCCTCTCATATCCTGATACACCTCATTCAGGGCAATCGGAACTTTAAACGTGATCTTCTGGTCAATTTCGGGCGTGATGGTGCGTTTCTTAATTTCAAATTCGCGAACGATGTCAAGGTAGGAATCTCTGTTTTCCATTTTGAATCTGTCCCATACCTGAGGGCCAACCAGCTCTATGAGGAACTCCTCGTACGCCTCGTCTACTTTGGTGCCTCCCCAGTCTCCCCCGTTTGCCATGTAGACCTGGTGAAGCGACCCGTCCCCCTGAACCTCCTGGACAGTGATATCTATGGTGCCGCCTGGAACAGAACAGGGTCGACAACATATAGAAGTAGATCATTATTCAACTATATTTTACCGACGTCGAATACTGAATAAAATATTTTTTCTGCTTATGTATTAACTTTGATTTGAATGTGATTTCACGCTTGATCATGACATCATCTATAGATGTCAGTTACTTTCGTTGTTATTCGGTATTGTAAAGCATTATTTGCATGCATCTATGTTTGCAATACATTTAAACCGGTATAAAATACGCACACGGTATCATAATATGCATACGGCAATCCCATTGCAATTTGATGTATTTTAAGACGCAGCTCCGATAAGCTAACATCGTTCTTTGTGTGACATGATATGGGTCTACATTCATATAAGAGCGTCTTATATTTCACCTTTTGTTGAAGTGTGTAATGTATATACCTACACTGGTATGTATGTACTACCACGCTTTTAACGACTGGACCTCATAATTAGCATGTCAGGCAGAGATGGTTTGATAAAATCAGATTTGCATACATTTACGTGCCAAACAAAGGCTAAAGTGTTATTTTGTATAATTTTGGCATTCGTTTTTAGAATTTTCAAGAATTAATAGTATTTCGTGGAAAATTCAGAATTGCTTTTAACTGGAGAATAATTAAAACCTTTTCATTAAATTTTAATAACATGATATTGCAAAAGCAATACTCAAACCTGCACTTCGAAAACATACAAAATAAGTAGAAATACATTCTGATTGCTGTATGTATGGTAAATTACAACAAACAGTGCCAGATAACTCTCAGAACGGAACGATAAGACAGCAATAAGAATCAAGTAGATCTCAACTCAACACAGGACATCGGAATACACTACAGGTGATCCAGCAGTATTAAGCATGGTGTACCCCATCACAAAACATTTATATATTTCAGACACGTACCTCCTGCNTCAACACAGGACATCGGAATACCCTACAGTTGATCCAGCAGTATTAAGCATGGTGTACCCCATCACAAAACATTTATATATTTCAGACACGTACCTCCTGCGTCTAATACCAAATACTTCGTGCCAGGACAGATGGCTTCCAGGCCGGCAATATCCTCGCCTGCCTGACATAGTTCCTGCCCCCGCTTTCCTACGGGAATGTGCTTGCAATATATCGATGCTGCCTCTGGCTCCAGAGCGATGTCGAGCTGGTCAGATCTGATGCCTGCCTGCAACAGAAACCACAAATAGACGTTATGAGTTTGAACTAATATATTACAAAATTGTTTTCTGAAAGTGGAAAAAAGGAGATGGTCAATAATAGGTCTTTAATCTTCGTTCTATGAAAAATCATGTTTTCTACAAAAGCAACGTTTTCAAATTCAATTTTGTCAATGTGATTAGAATGTATTTCCATATTTGTTTTTATCTTATAAATCAGAGATTTCAATTTTCTGAAGTATTAATGAACCGAGGAACGTTACCCGCGTCTTTTTGTAAGATGTTTGTTTTTGGGAGGGTGTGAGTTAGTTAGTTAGTATACAACCCAACTCACTTCCGTTTAGTTTGCCATCTGCGTTTAATACGATACCTCATTAAAATTTCAATCTATTTTAAACATTTCAATAATAAGTTTATTGCCTACATTACATAAATATACTCTTAATTCATGACATCTGCATCAGCACTTGATAAAATATACCTTCTTGGCCGCCTCCCTCATGAACTGCTTCGCCTGGTCCGACCAGATGGCTGGCACAGTAAGGACCCAGTGAACTTCGTCGTCCTGGACACCTTCACTGATCGATCGCGCGTGCATTGCGCGAAGCATGTGTTCTCTTAGGTAAAAGATGATAGCCGAGAATACCTCCAACGCGTTCATATGTTTACCTTTGTCATCCTCAATTGTGGACTGACGGGAAATGTGCTGTGAACAGAATCGTAGATTTTATACAATTGTTGGAGACAATATAATTATATTTTCCTTACTCTTAAAATCATAATGCACAATAACAAAGTAATGACTACGTATATAATGATGATGTTAACTAGATAAACTGCTCCGTATAGTTTGTATTATAGTTTATTTAAACTAGAAAGACTGTACGGGTTTTGAACTATTTCTGGCGATGTAAAATATTAAATGATGTAAACTAGACAGAGTAAAGGTTCTGTTAGTATCACAGTTGAAACGGGACTTACTAGGGTTGTTGCTAGTACCTGTATCACATCAAATGTAAACTAGAAAACCGGTTCAGGTATTGTTAATATTATATTTGGTGTAAACTAGTAAGATGGTTCAGATATTGTTAATATTATATTTTATGTTAACGAAAAAGATGGCTAAGGTATTGTCAATATTATATTTGGTGTAAACTAGAAAGGTTCAGATATTGTTAATATTATATTTAATGTAAACGAAAAAGATGGCTAAGGTATTGTCAATATTATATTGGGTGTAAACCAGAAAGGTTCAGATATTGTTAATATTATATTTAATGTAAACGAAAAAGATGGCTAAGGTATTGTCAATATTATATTGGGTGTAAACTAGAAAGGTTCAGATATTGTTAATATCACATTTTATGTAAACGAAAAAGATGGTTAAGAATTATCTCAAATGCCTAGACGCCTAGCAAGTAGTAAGAACCTGCCAGGAAGCTCAATATTCAACTCCTAACAACATCTCAACCATTTTTCTATTTACACCAACTATAATATAAACATTACCTGAACCATTTTTCTAGTTTACATCTGATGTGATACATTTACTAACAACAACCCTAGTAAGTCCCTATCAACTGTGATACTAACAGAACCTTTACTCTGTCTAGTTTACATTTGATGTGATACTGGTACTACACAACAACCCTAGTAAGTCTCGTTTCAACTGTGATACTAACAGAACCTTTACTCTGTCTAGTTTACATCATTTGATATTTTACATCATCAGAAATACCTACAAATAAACTCTTACATAGACTATACCGATCAGTGTATCTAGTTAACATCATCATAGTGTACGTAGCCATTACTTGGTTTTTGTGCATTATGATTTTAAAGGGTACAACATATCCATAAAGCAAGTGATGTTCCGCATTGAACCATTCAACCGTAACCTACACCTGAGTATACGTAGGCGATTAGCGACTGTAGGCCTACACACATGCATTTCACGAATTGAAAATGTTACCCCAGTGTTATGGAATAAAGCATTGTCAGTATTCCTTTACATTCAGTGATTCAAAGCAAATTTTGTTTCGAACTACAAAATATCTAAGATGTAAGCATCTTCATTTTCCTGTGGAACTACTGATAAAACAATTCGTATGAAAATGGTATGCCAAGCTACGTTAGTACTAGTTGTTGTTCTTTTTAGCCTGGATATTTCAAGCTCAAAAATGCAAATATTCGTTTAAGGTCTTTAGAAAGTCAACGTATGTGTGGGGTCAAAGCATACCAAATTCTGTGATTAAAATTAAAATAACCTCTATATACTGTCCCTGGTATAAGTAAACAATAACTGAGTTTATCTACCAAATAGATAACTAGTTCTGATATGTTAAGACCGTAGAGCACCGAGGATACTTTAAACTATGTGCACTAGTTCATGTATACGGTTGTTATACAGTACTTACTGGGTTGTTATACGGTACTTACTGGGTTGTTATACGGTACTTACTGGGTTGTTATACAGTACTTACTGGGTTGTTATACAGTACTTACTGGGTTGTTAAACAGTACTTACTGGGTTGTTAAACAGTACGTACTGGGTTGTTATACAGTACTTACTGGGTTGTTAAACGGTACTTACTGGGTTGTTATACAGTACTTACTGGGTTGTTATACGGTACTTACTGGGTTGTTATACGGTACTTACTGGGTTGTTAAACAGTACTTACTCAGTTGTTATACAGTACTTACTGGGTTGTTATACAGTACTTACTGGGTTGTTATACAGTACTTACTAGGTTGTTATACAGTACTTACTGGGTTGTTATACAGTGCTTAATGGGTTGTTATACAGTACTTACTGGGTTGTTGTACAGTACTTAATGGGTTGTTATACAGTACTTACTGGGATGTTATACAGTACTTACTAGGTTGTTATACAGTACTTACTGGGTTGTTATACATTGCTTAATAGGTTGTTATACAGTACTTACTGGGTTGTTGTACAGTACTTACTGGTTTGTTATAAAGTACTTACTGGGTTGTTATACAGTACTTACTGGGTTGTTATACAGTGCTTAATGGGTTGTTATACAGTACTTACTGGGTTGTTGTATAGTACTTACTGGTTTGTTATACAGTTCTTACTGGGTTGTTATACAGTACTTACTGGGTTGTTATACAGTACTTACTAGGTTGTTTTACAGTACTTACTGGGTTGTTGTACAGTACTTACTGGTTTGTTATACAGTACTTACTGGGTTGTTATACAGTACTTACTGGGTTGTTAAACTGTACTTACTGGGTTGTTAAACAGTACTTACTGGGTTGTTATACAGTGCTTAATGAGTTGTTATACAGTACTTACTGGGTTTTTATTCAGTACTTACTGGGGTGGTATACAGTACTTACTGGGTTGTTATATAGTACTTACTGGTTTGTTATACAGTACTTACTGGGTGGTTATACAGTACTTACTGGGTTGTTATATAGTACTTACTGGGTTGTTATCCAGTACTTACTGGTTTGTTATACAGTACTTACTGGGTGGTTATACAGTACTTACTGGGTTGTTACACAGTACTTACTGGGTTGTTATACGCTACTTACTGGGTTGTTATACGGTACTTACGGGGTTGTTATACGGTACTTACTGGGTTGTTATAAAGTACTTACTGGGTTGTTATACAGTGCTTAATGGGTAGTTATACAGTACTTACTGGGTTGTTACACAGTACTTACTGGGTTGTTATACAGTAATTACTGGGTTGTTATACTGTACTTACTAGGTTGTTTTACAGTACCTACTGGGTTGTTGTACAGTACTTACTGGTTTGTTATGCAGTACTTGCTGCGTTGTTATACAGTACTTACTGGGTTTTTATTCAGTACTTACTGGGGTGGTATACAGTACTTACTGGGTTGTTATCCAGTACTTACTGGTTTGTTATACAGTACTTACTGGGTGGTTATACAGTACTTACTGGGTTGTTAAAAGGTACTTACTGGGTTGTTAAACAGTACTTACTGGGTTGTTATACAGGACTTACTGGGTTGTTATACAGTACTTACTGGGTTGTTATACAGCATCATTTTGAACCGCCGGAAGTAGTACCAGTCATGATGCTCGTCGTCAATGGCCAAGTCTGCATACTTGTCCTCGGCGTCGAATCCAAATGAGTGAAATTTCTGCTCTGGAGTGAAGAGTGCACATGTTGGGGTTTTAAGAGATACACCAACTCGAGATCCACTATTCCAGGTATTTCCTTGGATCCGGAGTGCGTCGTTCGCGTAGTCGTTTCGGAATGCGAAAGCATATCCGGAATAGGTAGTGCCGAAATCAATGGCGGCTACTATCATCTTTTCACTGTCTTTTTCCTCTAAATATGACGCCATGGTGACAGGAAAGCCTTGATTAACCGCTCCTATGATGAAATACATGGATTTTTGTATTATGTACATGTATTTATTCAAACATAGCACAAAATATTATTTAAACTTAAAGATACTACCACCACACACACACATACACCCTCATTTTGTAATACCATCAAATATACAATGTGCCATGCAAATGTTTAACAACTTCCCATCTGTCATGTCACATTCATTTTCATTACTTCAGCATGCTGAAGTTGAATTATGTATTTTCACACATTCAAAATCAACTTGGTTTTGATAGCACCAGAATCGTGATATCACTTATTAGCGGTGCGGTCTCGGTATCGGGACGCATTATAACTTACAGTCCCAGGCCCACCGAGGAATACATGTACAGTAGAAAGTGTGAACGTGATCGGACGACTGGTCCTATTCACCTACCGTTATCAATTCATATATATGTGCGTGTCATTTAAAACATGAAGCTTTTGGCCAGAAATTACATAAGGATCACGAGCAAGGTACCTGTCACCATGTACAAACACGTTTAAACGCACACGACACATACATGTACTTATGATGAAACACATTGATTTTTGTATTGCATGTATTTATTCAAAAATAGCACAAAATAGTATTTAAACTTAAGGAAACCACCACACACACACACATACACACTCATTTTGTAATACCATCAAATATACAATGCAATTGTTTCACAACTTTCCTACAGTCATGTCACATTCACATTTATTAGTGAGCAAGTTTTTTATAGCTGAACTTGTAGTTTTTAAAGAGACACAAGGTGAAATGGTGTATTTTTACAAATTCAAAATCAACTCAATTTGGTTGTGTTAACACCAGAACCATGATATCACTTAGCGGTATGGTCTCGGGACGCAATATAACTTTCAGTCCCAGGGCCACTGAGGAAAACATGTAGGAAGTGTGAACGTGATCGGACGACTGGTCCTATTTACGTACCGTTATCAATTCATATATATGTGTATGTCATTTGAAACATAAATCTTTCGGCCAGAAAATACATAAGGCCCACATGCAAGGTGCATGTACACCACAACATGTTCAAACACGTCACCGTGTGAAACGCATACGACACATACATGTACTTAGTATATTTTATATTCAAAACGAAAGTACATACGGTTACTAGAACGAAAACAGAAATGTATATTGTTTCTTTCAGATTCTTGGTTAATATTTTGTAATATCTGTAGCACCAGATTACTCTTTGCAAATATAATGAATAACTGAATTGCCTGTAACTATTACAAAATGGTAGATTACACGTTGTGTTTATATGGCACAGTAGTTACACACGTACGTACATATCATCATTACTCACCACCCGTTTGTACAGTTGTATAGGTGTATCGTCACTGTATATGGCGACGTCTTCTTCAGTGTACCACCCGACCAGTCAGACGATTCACTTCCCTGTCAGTACCAAGCGATACCGACCTTGGCACGTCATCGGCAGTTCTCGGAATTTCTCCATATGTTACGGGATGTACTTTCGCTTTTTAAAATAGGATTCAGGTGGTGTGACTATACACGGTATCACATGCTGTGTAGAGAGACTTACGTCTATGAGTCTGCATTCCTTATTTCTTAATGTAAATTGAATTTTAGTTTCGGTTTCCATAGGCCTATCGCATTACAGCTTGCAACGTATTGTATCATTTCAGCTGGACTGATTAATTTCATTTCATCATATTTTACTGAGTTAACAATAGGATTGAACAGCAGGCTAGGCCTATATAAGTTCTCTCCTTAGGTTGACATGACAAAGACAAAGATGAATGAAATGGTTTGTAAGAAAATATTGATGCAAATCATATATAATAGGTAGCATAGACATATATATATATAGCAGATGGTATAGGGGAGATAATTCCATGTATGTTTCAATTACATATAAATATTTAATTGATATGTTTAGCTATACAATGCTCATATTAAAAAGTCAGTCATAATTAATAAGTAATAGGAAAGCAATGCCCTAATGATATATTAAACAGAGAAATTGCTACAATTGCTTTTTTTGTTTGTTGTTTTGCAAGTCATTAGTGCCCCATGTTCATACCCTGCTGCTGTTGCATGAAGTAGTTAGAAGTATAGAACCATTTAGTATCAATATATGTATCATTGGTAGGAGTGATAAAAAGTAAGGGATACAACAACATCAAAATATGAAAAAATAAAATGAGGCAATTCAGCTAGAAGATTTTGATAATGTAGTATATGTGCAAGATGTATTGCCAGTGTTCTATGTGTAAATCTTTCATCCCATCGAGTTTCAGACAAAAAGTCTCTAACGGCCTCTACCGTTCACATATCATCCACTCGAGAAGAATCCAGATGAAACCACAGAACACTAAGCATTCAAACTTAGCACATTGAGAGTGTAGAGAGACTTACGTCTATGAGTCTGCATTCCTTATTTCTTAATGTAAATTGTATTTTAGTTTCGGTTTCCATAGGCCTATCGCATTACAGCTTACAACGTATTGTATCATCAGCTGGACTGATTAATATGTTGCTGTCTCATGTAACAGGACAAAGAGAAAATGTAATGGACGGCCAACAATCCACCCGGTCCAGTTCCGCTACACTCACAACAACCTACGTCCACAGGGACCTGATAATTTGTCACAGCTTAATTTGGCCCTAAACTAAGGTGTACATGTTTTAGGGGTTAAGATCGACTTTCGGTAAAAATGACACCCGAAATGACAAAACCTCTAAAACATGTAAAATTACTCTGAAACCTTGGTTTAGGTCAAATATAAACTGTAACAAATTCTCATGTCCCTGTGCCTACGACAACATGAACCTCTGACAACAATTCTGATCAACCCATGCGCTGATATAGCTTAAATATTATTTTCTACACCTTCTCTTCAACTCTTGTACATCTCCTAACAATCTAAAGCCTTTCTCTTTAATCATTGTACTACCCTCCTCCACCATAGTGCTCCTCCTTTTCAGCCCTTGTACCCACTCCATTTAAGCCTTGTGCCCCTCCTCTTCAATAATTGTATCTCTTTTTAATTTCTGTACCCGTCTACTTTAAGCTCAGTACCCGTCATCATCAATCCTTGTACCTCTCTTTAATCCTAGTACCCGTCTCCTTTAAGCTCAGTACCCGTCATCATCAATCCTTGTACCTCTCTTTAATCCTGTTACCCGTTCCCTTTAAGCCTTGTGCCCCTCCTCTTCAATAATTGTATCTCTTTTTCCCTTCTGTACCCGTCTACTTTAAGCTCAGTTCCCGTCATCATCAATACTTGTACCTCTCTTTAATCCTGTTCCCCGTTCCCTTTAAGCCTTGTGCCCCTCCTCTTCAATAATTGTATCTCTTTTTCCCTTCTGTACCCGTCTACTTTAAGCTCAGTTCCCGTCATCATCAATACTTGTACCTCTCTTTAATCCTAGTACCCGTCCCCTTTAAGCTCAGTACCCCTCTTCATCAATCCTTGTACATCTTTTTAATTCCGGTACCCGTCTTTTTTAAGCTCAGTACCCTCCTCATCAAACCTTGTATATCTTTTCAAACCTCGAACCGTCTCCGTTAAGCCTAGTACCCGTCCTCTTCAATCCTGGTACTTCTCCTTAACCTGTCCCTTTTTAAGCCTAGTACCCGTCCTCTTCAATCCTTGTACTTCTCCTTAACCTGTCCCTTTTTAAGCCTAGTACCCGTCCTTTTCAGTCCTTGTAACTCATTTTTATAATCCTGGTACCCGCCACCTTTAAGCTCAGTACCCGTCCTCTTTAATCATTTTACCTCTCGTTAACCCTGGTCCTGTCCATTTTTAAGGCTAGAACCCCTCCTTTTCAATCCTTGTACATATACATCTCATGTTTATTCATTGAACAAATGTGCCAGTGTCCTTAGAAGTTTTGCACCCACCTCTCATTCCTGTTTGCACTCCTTCGCTTTAATCTCTTTACCATCCTATTTAATCCTTTAACATATCCTTTTTAATCCTTGTACAATGTACCCGGCATTTAAGCCTTACACTGACCCTCTGTATGCCTTCTTTACTTTTCGAACTTTGCATACGTATAAAGTCTTCAGTTCTTGCACACTGCTTCAACAAATCTTACACCGTTCCCTTTCAATCAAATATACTCTCCTCTTCAAACTCAGTACCTCTCCTTAATAATTTATGTTCCCTCCTCTGCAAGCCTTGTACACATATTTTTTAAATTCTTGAACTACCCTCGTCTTCATTCATTGCATACACCCCCTTTCTAGCCTTGCACATGTACCCCTCCTTTTTAATCTTTGTACGCTCCTTTTCAATCTCTACGGGTGGTAAGTATACGGTTGCAGTTCAATCGTAACGTCTTTTATATAAAAATTCGTTTTTTTCGTTTCAATTTTATTGACAATATAAGCAAAAGTCAATAGGATCAGACATCAGGCATAGTCTATTTAAGTCCTCTTATTAAAGTGACAACAGGTGGTAAGAAACACAGACATATATTTGTACATTGATATGATGTTTTGGATAAGGGGAAGTAACTCCTTGATGTAAACAGACTTGTTCAGTATTCTTGAGATATAGTAACCCTTTCACCAGGGATATATAATTTGAGTTATTTACTAGACTATTATCGTCAGTGAATAACATCAAGTACTAGACAATGAGTTACTGGTATTCATATAAGGTAAACTGTTGAGTATAAATATTTGGTGATATTGGATTTATTCCCCCAACAGATACAGGCCATACAGTCCATATGTATAACACACTAGCCATCACACACCGTTGAGGATCAAAAGCCAATTTCAGCAAATAGATATATAATTTGTAAGTAGGGCTACACCAACTCCTGCAAGTAATATAGTATTTCTTTAATTAAATTGAAAGGAGTTACTTCATATCTTGATGTAAGAAAGAAGAAGAAGAAAACGGAAAAACAAAAAACAAAAAAAACCCACAAAAACACAAAAACACACACACAAAATAAAGGAAAAAAACTCATCTAAGCTGCCCAGAGCCAATTTCATTCAAAAGGTATATATTACAGCTAAATTAGTAATTATCAAAGGTAGAATAAAGTATCTAATCAATTCCATATTATATTACATTAGATGATATATCTTGTACTNGTTGGAGAGTCTGGCGAATATTATTATATTGATTACATTCAGAAAAATAATGTGCAGCAGTTTCGAAAGATCCGTTACACTCACACATTGGAGATTCAATTAAGTGATCTTTATAACGATCATAATTTAGATTACTAGCATTATTTCTTTATTGGCAAAGTATAATGTTTACATCACGATTGCCAAAGGTAATTTTACAGATATTTAAAAATGATTTTTTCCAACATTTTACTAAAACATGAAGTAACAGAGATTGGTCTGTAATTAGACACCTCATTAACTAATCCTTTACCTTTATAAATAGCGTTAATATTAGCCATCTTCCAGCTGAGGGGATAATACCAGTTTCAAGTGTTTTGTTAAATAGAAGAGTTAGAGGAAAGAGGATAGATGGATGTAATTGTTTGATTATTCTGGGAATCATATCATCTGGTCCAGCAGGTTTATTAACATTCAAAAGAAATAGCTGATATTTAACATCCTTTTGGGTTATATCAATATCATTTATGGAATTAGGAAAATCGTTAGTAGTTTCAGGTATAGGTTCAGTATTTACAGAAGTGGTAGATATTGATGCAAAGTATTTATTTAAGCATTCAACTTTGTCAAATGGATGTTGAATAAATGATGTATTGTGTGTTAGTGGGGGAATAGAAGTAGATTTGTTATTTATATTAAGGACATTTCGTGCAATTTTCCACCACTTGTTAGGGGGAATAGTTTTGTCGGTTAATGATTTTTGTAAATTTTGTAACATACTTTTTCTTGGAATCACGTATTCTACTAATGGTTTCATTTCTTTTGTTTCTATAATTTTCCCAGTGAAAAGCCGAATTACTAGATTTTGCTTTCCTATGAGCCCTATTTCTTTGTCTTATATGTAGTCTAATATCATTAGTCATCCATTTTTTATCATTTGGTCTAATTGTTACATACTTAGTGGGTATAGATTCATTAATTAAGTGCTTTATTGTATCACATAAAATATTGTTAAATTCATTTGTATCAGGTATATTGATAAGGTTTTCCCAATCTTTTTCTAAAATACATCTAATCATCTGATCATAATCTGCATCTTGATAAATAAGAATTTTCTTTCAATAGGTTTGTTTTTAAAAAAACTGCATAGGAAATATTAAATTGTATCAGATAATGGCCACAACAAATAGGAGGAAGCATTTTTAACTATATTTCTGTTGTTGGAAAAGACAATATCAATTGAAGTTGATGAAGTTGGAGTGATACGGGTGGGGTCTGTGATAAAACTAGAAAGATTCAATTTTGTTATTAGTCTACCAAGGTGGGAATGGGGTTGAAGATTTAACATAATGATATTAATATCACCAGTAATCACTTTATCTAAGTTAGTGTTCACAGCTTTTTCAATGACTGAATCTAAAATTTCCCAATATCTAACTGGTGATTCTGGCCTATATAGACAAGCCAGAAGAAACTT